TAGGTTATTGGCAGTTCGTTTCAAACTATCTGAGTGACAAATACAAAATTCCATTTTCCAGAATTTCAGGGGAAATACAGACAGGAATACCATAGTAAGACACGAGGTTCGTATGTTCAATGCGCGTTACGTAAGGTTTCAGCCTATCTCCTGGCATGGTCATATCTCTATGAGGGTTGAGATATACGGATGCTCAGAGCGTAAGTATAAAAATTACCGCTTGGTTACTTAACTCATTTCAGTGCTCAGGGTTAGCCTTACTTCAGTGTCAAAATATTGACAAATATAAAGTATCTTTACCATTATGGTAATTATCATTGTCATTTATCCGCTACAACAAGAGTAGATACTCTACAAACCAACCTTTTTTTGAAATTTCTAGATTATTTTAGCATTTCTATCCCACGCATTTTAATTCACATTGAACCCATTAAAGACACTTTTAAGAAATTATAATGTTAATATGATTTATATATTCCATAGGCAAGGTTAAACCTGCCGACAACGTCAACGAGTGTAGCAGCAGTCCATGTCTTAATGGTGGCGTGTGTGTAAACCGATATTCACGCTACATGTGTCTGTGTAAACAGGGATTTACTGGACATCGATGCGACAAAGGTAAGGGATAGGAGAATACGGGCAGTAGAGAAGAATAGGAATGGTTGTCAATCAAGAGAATATAAAGTATTTTCAGTCTTGTTATCAATGCTATTAGTCATAAAAAGGGATGATATAGTTTTCCTCTTAAAAAGAGCGCTTCTGTATTTAAAGTGATTTAAAGTGCAGTTACATTAACTGCCGGTTTTATTTGGTTTGGAAGTCTGAATTTTATAAGCTATTGAAAAGGACTCTAGAAAAGATCTGTACATTTTTTTGCGCATATGTGAAGGACATGCGTTGAAAAGAAAACGCGTTGTCAAGGAAACATGTTTTGCCGAGGAAACCTGTTGCCGTTGGCACGCGTGTTGCCAAGGAAACGTGTTATCAAGGATACACGTGTTGCCAAGGATACCTTACTGATTATCCACCATGATCTATGTTTTCAGCCATTCCATGTGGTACTCTCGAGTCCCCAATCTATGGAGTAATACACTCTTCTGGCAGTACTCATGGTAGTACAGCAACATTCACTTGTCGTGCGGGATACAGGATCAAAGGCACGGGAACAAGATCTTGTCAAAGTGGACAGTGGACTGGGACACAACCAACCTGTGAAGGTAATATCAAAGTGATTGGTATAACAGCAGCATCGTCCAATAAAAAAGGAATAAGAATTAAGAAAGATTTAACATTTTTAATTTTTATGGGATTGAAGAGTGGTGTAGCGTTAATGCACTCTTCTCTCGCCTCTGGGGTCTCGGGTTTGGTTCTTGGACTTGGCATACATGTGAGCAGAGTTTGTTAGACTCTCTACCTTGATTCAATGATATCCTATACTGGGCTCTCCGACTTTCCTCCCTCGGCAAAATCCAAGCTAAATTCCAATCTGTGAGTTAACCCTTTTAATCCGTGTGACTTGTGAGCCGTGCCTCGACTTTGGTCAGCCTAGAGTTTCAGGTCACAGATAAAATGAAGGTTATTTTATTATTTTATCTCCCCTTTCCCTCCAGTATTATTTCTTTCTCTACTGCAATTTTGACCACCCAATAAATCAATGGAAGAAACATTAACGGAGCCAAAATGAAATAATCTACACAGCTATGAGCCAGACCTTTGGCCATGGGTGAATTAAAAACAAAATTTGCACCGAGTAGTTCTATTTTAGATGATGCTTTTCCTTTTTATCTAAGACATCAATGAGTGCCTTACAGGAGGCCATTGGTGAATTAAAAACAAAATTTGCACCGAGTAGTTCTATTTTAGATGATGCTTTTCCTTTTTATCTTAGACA